ATCATGCAAGATCCTGGACCAAACCTGGGTCAGTGCAACCCTGAAGCCGCATGATCCCAAAAATCCGGCGCTCTGACTGACCCCGTTTGCACTGACCCTCGCCCTTTGAGCCCCGATGGCGGCTCACTCACTCCCGCCTCCCAATCATCCTGTGGTCCTCGTTTAAAATCATCAGCGCCTGGCGTCCTCTCCTCCCTCCTCTTCTCCCCCTCCTCCCTCCTCTCCTCCCCCTCCTCCCTCCTCTCCTCCCATTCCTCCCATTCCTCCCTCCTCTCCTCCTCTCCTCCCCCTCCTCCCCTCCCTCCTCCCTCCCTCCTCCCTCCTCTCCTCTCTCCCCCCCTCTCCTCCCATAGAGAGCTCCACCGAAAACCCAAATTGCAGCGCCCGCGTGGCGCCACCACACCCGTTTCGGCACACCCCATCACACGTTTCGTGGCCCCATAAGGAGCTCCACCGACGGCCCCAGTGGCAGCGCCCTGTGTGGCACCGCCTCACACATTTCGGCACACCCCTCACACGGTTCGTGGCCCCATCGGGAGCTCCACCGAAGGCCCCAGTGGCAGGTCCGCACGGCGCTGCCGCACCCATTTCGGCACACCCCCCACGCGCTTCGTGGCCCTATAGGGAATTCCACCGAAGGCGATGCCTACAACGACGGAATTCACAACTGCATGTGGTTGGGCCCTTCGCCAGGATGATTTTGTTGCTTGGTTCGCCGAGGCATTCGCTCTGGACGTGCTCTATCCATGTAAGGGTGGGCGGCGCTAGTGCCGAGGGGGCATGCCGCTTGCACCACCGCCGAGCATGGACAGAAGAGAAGAAGCAGCCAGCCCCCAGGCTTGGGGGAGGAGGGAGGGAGGGAGGGAAGGCGGGCGCTGGCAGCAGGCCCCCGCTGCTCCACCCGTTCGTGGCACCGCCTCTGGAGCTCCCGTGCGCGCTCAATCGAAAGGCTCTGGTGGGCGCGCACCCTCTCCCATGGGACGTGGGGCACCGTCTGGCGCTGTGCCCTCCTTGGGATTGGGGAGTTCGCCAGCGCCCATTTGCAGAGGGCACCGGCCGGACGGACACGCGGCGGTGCAGGGGGGGAGGCAGGGGAGCTTTGCTTACAGTCGGCCCGTATCAGAAGGATGCGCGATGAGGATGCAAGGGCCTTGGACGCCCGTTTCGAAGCCTTTCGAGCGCGGCGCGGCCAACGCACGTGGCCAAGGATGGACCGAGGAGGCAGGGATGCGAGGGTACCCTTGGGAACGTTGCCCATCCTTACTATGCGGGTTGACTGTATGAGGGAGGGGAGTTTTGCTTACTCCGAGTCTCTTAATAAGCGTCGGGGGGGCGTCACCCTCGCCGACAGCCCCACATCGACCCCCGTCGCGGGCAGCCACCGCGCGCCGAAGGCGCTCTTAACCCCGTCGTGGCGCGACGCGGTGGCGAAGTTGACCCCCGTTGGGGGGGTACCCTCCCACGCTGATTAAGAATAAGAAACCCAGAGTCCCTCTGGGAGACGTTTTGGGGGCCTCTTGGGCCGTCTGAGAGGCCTCTGTGGACGTCTTGGGGCTTTCTCGGATAGTTTTGGGCCCGTTCTGGGAACCTCTTGGGGGCCTGTCGTGCCGATCTTCATGGCATCTTGGGTCGTCTTGGGGCGTCGGGTAAGCCGAGAAGGCGAGAACGCCCGAATCTTTCAGAAAACGTATTAAGAGACCCATCGGGGATCTTCTGATCCGGGTCAATCCAGACCCAGGTCAGCAGGAAACCCAAAACAGCAATGGAGAAACAAAAAACCTGCAGCGCAGCTCTTCGAAAACCCGGGTCAACCAATATATGTGCGGCCGCCTCGCGGCCACGAGCGGCTCGCTGACCCGGGTCAGCCAGCGGGGGTATTCGCAGGCAGGATCCTGCAGGATCTGGCGCCCTGGCTGACCCCCGTTTGCATTGACCCCCGTCTCGTGAGCCCCGAAACCCAGAGTAAACCTCCCTTTAGTAAACCTCCCTTAGTAAAACCTCCCAGCCCGTCTCGGCGGTGGACAAACCTCCCTTTCGTAAACCTCCCCTTCGTGAAAACGGCCTGGGACCGAAACCGACGGACCTGGACCCGCAAAAACGACGGCCGAAATTTTGGACTGGGTGGGTGAAAATGCTACAATGAGTGTTTCGGGACGCTTGCGGACGGTCCCACTGGGGCCTTCGGTGGAGCTCCCTGTGGGGCCACGAAACGCTGCACTGGGTGGGTGAAAATCCCACATTGGGCGTGCGGGACGCATGCGGACGGTGGCACTGGGGCCTTCGGTGGAGCTCCCTGTGAAGCCACGAAACGCTGCAATGGGTGAGGAAAATGCCAAATTGGGTGTTTCAGGGCGAACCGAGAACGGCCAATTCCTTAATCGACGTGTCAGGGTAGGAAGCCTGCCCACCCCCGAGAGTAGGCCGCAACCGCCGGCGGCTGACCTCCGTACGCTCTGCTCTCGACCATGCCGCGGCCAGCGTGCGCCGCCGCGGCCGCCGCCCGCCGAGCGTGGCAGGCTCACGGCGGAGGGACGGCGGAGGCCGGGGCGCTCTGCGGAGGCCCCCTGAAAACAGGGCTAGGATCGGGGTAAATCGCTCCAGAGAGTTCACGAGCGCTCTCAGAGCGTTCCGGAACGCTCTGGAGCGGCCGCGGCGCCCAATACATCCTCCAAACCCGCCGATTCTCAGAGATTTCGAGTTATCCCGATCCGATTTTGTCCCGATCTTCGCGTCGTTTTACCCCTGCGGCCCAAGCGCCCACTTCCCTGGGATCCTACGTCCGGCAACAGAGACGAAAATAAACCTCGCGAGCCACAAAATCACGACCGGCTCCCCAGACCCAATCTTCCTGCTGCACTTTTCGAGCCAAGCCGATCGGTGATGGTCCTGGGGCCCGAAAATGCCCAGTGTGAAAACGTTGCGACGCCCAGAACTCAGGGCCATCTGCTGACAACAAAAGCCCAGGAATGAGGAGGAGGAAGCACCGACAGGCGATGTCTTGATTTGTTCGAAACGGATGGAGGGCTGACGGTCTCCCATGGACGGCTTTTTTTTCTGGATCGTTTTGTTGATGCTCCCCGGGCTCGGCGAGGGCCCCCGGAGGCCGAAATCAGACAACACCTTTCGTCGCGCCTGTTTCACGACGGGAGCATGTCTGTGAGGAGAAGAAGGTAGATGCCTCCAACATGGGGTCCGAGTAGACAGGGTCGGAGGATCGCGCCGCATCACCAATGCAGCGCCGATGCGTCCGGGATGAATTCGGCAACGTCGGCGACGCATCGGCGACGCTGGCGTGGAGAAGGTCGGGCCGCCCAGCGAGCTGATTCCCAGACGCGTCGGCGATGCGGCGCGACCCACCGACCCCACCTAGTCGGGCCTCCCTTGGGAGGCCCAGAGTCGGACGTCTCACGCCTGTGCGTGCCTGCGGCTTGCCCAAGAAAGAGAGGGAGGAACCCGCAGAAGCCGAGATCGACGGAGAACGCACGGTAAAGGCCGAAAGCAAGGCAAGGGTGGCGATATCGGAAAATTACCCATCCATTCTCTGAGTGAGGAGAAGGAGACGGAGGAGGAGGAGGAGCAGCAGGAGCAGGGGCAGAAGGAGGAGGAGGAGGAGGAGCTGGAGCAGGAGGAGGAGCAGGATAAGGAGGATGAGGAGGAGGAGGAGTAACAGGAGGAGGAGGCCCCTCACTACTAACCTAGCCGATGACCCAGCCAACACGCGCGAGACGAAGGAAGGCGACGATGGAGCCCGATGTGATCATCTACGATTCACGGGTCAGGGCAAATGTGAAGCGAGGGAGACGGCAGCGGCAGCGGCAGCGGGCAAGAGCGGCAGCATCACTACGCCATCAATTAGAGGCGCTATGCGAGAAGAGACGGCAGTGGCAGCGGACTTGCTTCGGGCCGTGCGAGAGCACACCATACCAATACCCATCGAGGGCTATGATGACAACTTCCCTTGGGAGCACCATATCAGCGGCGACG